AACGAGGAAAAGTATAAAAACCACTGCTGTGGTCATCACTATCCTCTTGCAATAGGACCAGCTGGATGGCAAAAACAGTGCTAATTGTACCTCAAAATAATATTAATCAAAAAATAACTATGGACCATGCCAAAAGAGTTGAAAAGGAAAGTTTTGAGTGAGGAAAAGAAGGGTTCAATTCTGGCTTTACTGACAGAGGGATACAGTGAGCGTCAGGTTGCTTCCGTCCTTAAAATGTCAAAGACGGCGGTTCATAAGAACAAGGTCAAGCAGCAGACATTGGGGACAACAAAGCTACAGACCGGCAGAGGGCGAAAACGACTCTCTACTGACCGGGATGACCGCCAACTCACTCGATTGTCACTCAACAACCGTAGGATGACATCAAGTGACCTACAAAAAGAATGGCAAACGGCAGCTGGTGTGAAGTGCACGGCGAAGACGGTTCGAAACAGGCTCCTAGGGGCAGGGCTGAAGTCATGCAAAGCTAGAAAAAAGCCCTTTATCAATGAGAAGCAAAGAAGAGCCAGGCTGAGGTTTGCAAAATACCATAAGGATTGGAACGTAGAGGACTGGATTAAGGTCATTTTCTCTGATGAGTCCAATTTTCAGCTTTGCCCAACACCTGGCCATCTAATGGTTAGACGGAGACCTGGAGCAGGACAATGCGCCATGCCACACAGCCAGGTCAATCAAGGTGTGGATGGAGGACCACCAGATCAAGACCCTGTCATGGCCAGCCCAATCTCCAGACCTGAACCCCATTGAAAACTTCTGGAATGTGATCAAGAGGAAGATGGATGGTCACCAGCCATCAAACAAAGCCGAGCTGCTTGAATTTTTGCGCCAGAAGTGGCATAAAGTCACCCAACATCAATGTGAAAGACTGGTGGAGAGCATGCCAAGACGCATGAAAGCTGTGATTGAAAATCAGGGTTATTCCACCAAATATTGATTTCTGAACTTTTCCTAAGTTAAAACATTAGTATTGTGTTGTTTAAAAATGAACATGAACTTATTTTCCTTGCATTATTCGAGGTCTGACAACACTGCATATTTTTTGCTATTTTGAACAGTTGTCATTTTCTGCAAATAAATGCTCCAAATGACAATATTTTTATTTGGAATATGGGATAAATGTTGTCAGTAGTTTATAGAATAAAAAAAAGTTAATTTTACCCAAACACATACAGTGAGGGAAAAAAGTATTTGATCCCCTGCTGATTTTGTACGTTTGCCCACTGACAAAGAAATGATCTGTCTATAATTTTAATGGTAGGTTTATTAGAACAGTGAGAGACAGAATAACAACAAAAAAATCCAGAAAAACGCATGTCAAAAATGTTATAAATTGATTTGCATTTTAATGAGGGAAATAAGTATTTGACCCCCTCTCAATCAGAAAGATTTCTGGCTCCCAGGTGTCTTTTATACAGGTAACGAGCTGAGATTAGGAGCACACTCTTAAAGGGAGTGCTCCTAATCTCAGTTTGTTACCTGTTTAAAAGACCTGTCCACAGAAGCAATCAATCAATCAGATTCCAAACTCTCCACCATGGCCAAGACCAAAGAGCTCTCCAAGGATGTCAGGGACAAGATTGTAGACCTACACAAGGCTGGAATGGGCAACAAGACCATCGCCAAGCAGCTTGGTGAGAAGGTGACAACAGTTGGTGCGATTATTGGCAAATGGAAGAAACACAAAATAACTGTCAATCTCCCTTGGCCTGGGGCTCCATGCAAGATCTCACCTCGTGGAGTTGCAATGATCATGAGAACGGTGAGGAATCAGCCCAGAACTACACGGGAGGATCTTGTCAATGATCTTAAGGCAGCTGAGACCATAGTCACCAAGAAAACAATTGGTAACACACTACACCATGAAGGACTGAAATCCTGCAGCGCCCGCAAGGTCCCCCTGCTCAAGAAAGCACATATACATGACCGTCTGAAGTTTGCCAATGAACATCTGAATAATTCAGAGGAGAACTGCATGAAAGTGTGGTCAGATGAGACCAAAATGGAGCTCTTTGGCAGGGGGTCTGTAGTGACGCCTCAAGCACTGAGATGCAGTGCCTTAGACCACTGCACCCTTTTGCAATTATGTTAGCACAGCTGAAAACTGTTGTGCTGATTAAAGAAGCAATAAAACTGGCCTTCTTTAGACTAGTTGAGTATCTGGAGCATCAGCAATTGTGGGTTTGATTACAGGCTCAAAATGGCCAGAAACAAATAACTTTCTTCTGAAACTCGTCAGTCTATTCTTGTTCTGAGAAATGAAGGCTATTCCATGCGAGAAACTGCCAAGAAACTGAAGATCTCGTACAACGCTGTGTACTACTCCCTTCACAGAACAGCGCAAACTGGCTCTAACCAGAATAGAAAGAGGAGTGGGAGGCCCCGTTGCACAACTGAGCAAGAGGAAAAATACATTAGTGTCTAGTTTGAGAAACAGACGCCTCACAGGTCCTCAACTGGCAGCTTCATTAAATAGTACCCGCAAAACACCATTCTCAATGTCAACAGTGAAGAGGCGACTTCGGGATGCTGACCTTCTAGGCAGAGTTGCAAAGAAAAAGCCATATCTCAGACTGGCCAATAAAAAGAAAAGATGAATATGGGCAAAAGAACACAGACACTGGACAGAGGAAAATTTGAAAAAAGTGTTATGGACAGACGAATCAAAGTTTGAGGTTTTCGGATCACAAAGAATAACATTTGTGAGACGCAGACCAAATGAAAAGATGCTGGAGGAGTGCTTGATGCCATCTGTCAAGCATGGTGGAGGCAATGTGATGGTCTGGGGGTGCTTTGGTGGTGGTAAAGTGGGAGATTTGTACAGGGTAAAAGGGATCTTGAAGAAGGAAGGCTATCACTCCATTTTGCAACGCCATGCCATACCCTGTGGACGGCTCTTGATTGGAGCCAATTTCCTCCTACAACAGGACAATGACCCAAAGCACAGCTCCAAACTATGCTATAACTATTTAGGGAAGAAGCAGTCAGCTGGTATTCTGTTTATAATGGAGTGGCCAGCACAGTCACCGGATCTCAACCCTATTGATCTGTTGTGGGAGCAGCTTGACCGTATGATACATAAGAAGTGCCCATCAAGCCAATCCAACTTGTGGGAGGTGCTTCAGGAAGCATGGGGTGACATATCTTCAGATTACCTCTACAAATTGACAACTAGAATGCCAAAGTTCTGCAAGGTTGTAATTGTTGCAAATGGAGGATTCTTTGACGAAAGCAAAGTTTGAAGGACACAATTATTATTTATATTAAAAATCATTATTTTTAACCTTGTCAATGACTACATTTCCTATGCATTTTGCTATATTTCCTATTCAAACTCATTTCATGTATGTTTTCATGGAAAACAAGGACATTTCTAAGTGACCCCAAACGTTTGAACGGTAGTGTGTATATATATATATATATATATATATATATATATATATATATATATATATATATATATATATATATATATAAAAACACTTGAGATTTAAAGCCACGGCTACAATTTCATGCAAAAACTAAATGAAACAAGTCTACAAAAATAAGGTAAATGTCTGTACACCTCCGCTGTTTCAAAAACATTGCTATGCTATATACATTTTTACTGTACAAGTGTTGGCTCAACAAGACATTTCTGTTTACACTGCCCTGCTTAGAGGTGGGGCAACTGTCGTGCGCTACCCCCGGAGGTAGCAGTCGAGACGTGACAAGTTCACAAGTTTACATTGCTGTATATGTGTAGCCAATTTCCGAAAAGTCTAGTAAGTGTGTGCCAATGTAAGTGCGTGCCAATGCCACCTCAGCATTATGGCTATGTTTCATCCTAAGCCATAGGCAGAACTTTACCGTAATCATGACTTGGTCGGTTCGCGGAAATAAAAGTTTAGGCTTTGATACCAGCAACACCTTTCAGTTATAAAGAAAATGTGGAAAAAGGTTGGTGGGATGCTAAAGTTGGCGGGAAAACCTCTTGGTTTGAAAGGTTTATAGGCGACTGAGGGTCCATTTTGGGGGTTTTGTCAGAGGCTAACTCGCTGGTTTCTGGCAGATTGATCCGGAGGTTACAGACCTGTTAATGAAGGTCGCCCAGAGTGACACGGCTCAGGGAAGACAGACAGACAACACTGTCTCTCTGTCTCGCCACTTCTTTCTTTCTCTCTCCAGCTCTCCCTCAATCTCCTCGTCCTATGGTCTCACCATCTGTTTTCTCTGTCTAACGATCTCCACTTTCCCTCTGTCTGTTTCCCTAACTAACTATCCGTCTCTCACTCCCTCTTTGTCGAACTGCCTCTCTCTCTCCCTCCCTCTCTCTGTATAACTGCCTCTATCTCCCTCCCTCTAACAGTCTCTCTCTCTATTTCCCTCTCTTTCTCTCCCTCCCTCTCTTTCTCTATGTCTAACAGTCTCTGTCTTTCTGACATAAACACATGTTCAACCACCATTTGCATGGAAATCAAAGCCTCTCTTCCCTTCAACGCCGCCTCCTCTGTAGGAATCTCTCAAGGAGAAAATACATCTGTTCACATATGTACACACACACACCGGTGTTTCTCGCCCATGCTAGAAGAACAAGACATGTCTCTTAATTTTCCTCATCTTGAGAAGACTATTCTTCTCACGTCTCAGACAATGCCTGTAGCCATGCATAAAACTAGTCCACATTGTGCATCACTTAGAGGAAAGAATCGGTCTTCTGCAGCTAAGACGCACCAAGACGCAAGTAGGATACAGCTAGGATGATACAGGTGGCTACATCCACTCAATCAACAACCATCACAGCTAAGATGCTAATCGCCACCATGCTCAAAAGTTTAGTCCTAACTATACTTAATCTTTATGAAACAAGGAAGACTTGTTTTCAAGATAAACCTGGCCAAGAAAGCAGCTCACATCCATATTTTCAGACAACCTAAACCAGACCAAAACCAGTCCAATCCTATCTTCCAGGTCACCTAAATATTTTCAGACGACTATCGTTCTCACCTGACGCGTGGCCCATCGCGGAGCGGCTCTCTCATGGTCCTGCCGCGGTTGGTGCCAGGCAGTGTGCCTTGGCGTCGGCTGGCGATGGAGTAGTCAGGGTCCAGGTCATAGGGCTCCTCCTCCTCAGGGCCCAGGCTGCGGCGGTCGTCCTCCAGTCCGTAGGGCTCTGGCTGGAAGCGTTCTGGCTGGGACCGGTTCAGGTCCACACTGCTGCTGCCCATGGGCACCTGAGGCTGGGCCACGTGGCCGTAGTCATCCTTCCGAATGGGTAAGGTCCCGTAGCTGTTCTCCGTCCGGTAGCTGTTCGCCATGGCGTAGGGGTAGCGGGGTGGCCGGAAGTTGACGCCACGCGACAGGCTGCCGTAGTTGTCGGTCACGTCTCCGATCCCGTAGCCGTCGTGGACGCCATAGTGGCGCCCACCGTACTGGCTCCCACCGGCATCGGGGGGGAGCGTGTCGGTGTAGGAGTCGTTGTAGTTGTTGTAGGAGCGCGTGAGTGTGGAGGTGGCCTGTGGCGTGGTGATGTAGCGCTCACCGTTCTTCAGGTAGCGCCGGTCGATGGAGTCTGTGTAGCTGCCCAGCGGGGAGGAGCCCTCGGGCAGGGGCAGGCCGTCGGGGCCCAGGGGCACCTGGCGAACCGTCCGCGTGGTCACCGTCTTCACCATCTTCGTCACCTTGAGGAGGAGAGGAGGTAACAAAGACAGAGTTAAACTGATTACATAATCAGAAGTTAATCAGTTACTACCCAATCCTGGAAGTTTGTATTGTGTGTATGGGCCACACCATGACCAACTGTTGATGAGGACAATGTTGAAGCATTCTGATCACCCTGACATGACTGTACTTAACAGTATGTTCAGGTGTCCCACCAGACAGACAGACAGACAGACTACAGATTAATCCCGTCCCCAGACAGCTCTCTCTATATAGTAGTAAGTGAGTCTGGGGAAGAGGTTACCTACAGATAAACCCAGTGAGATACAGGCGGTTAGGACTGAGACACAGCACACTGATGCAGCCTGTTGAATCACAGACAGGCCAGTGAGATGCCGATGCCACACAGTGAGAGGCTGAGGAATGAGATGAGGACAACATTGTTCCTTTAAAGAGTGACACTGCAGGCAGGCACTGTCAATAACAGGTCAAAGGTCATGCATTGGGAAACTCTGTGAGGAGAAAGGGTCGTACAATTTCCTTTCATCCATTTCTATTAGAAAAAAACATGTTGGAAGTAAGGTTGAGTTTCTGTGACATGTCTCCCCCCCACATATTGAATAGGGTGCCATTTGGGAAGGAGACAGTCATAACTGGTAACTGACTGTCTTATAGAGCACTAGTAAACTGTCTCTATATAAATATATCGATACATCAAATCAAATTTTATTTGCCACATGCGCCGAATACAACAGGTGTAGACATTACTGTGAAATGCTTACTTACAGCCCTTAACCAACAATGCATTTATTAAAAAGGTATTGTCGGATATTATTCATTCTAATCAGACAGGTTTTTTACATGAAAGATACATTGGAGATAATATAAGGCAAGTATTGGAAACAATAGAACACTATGGAAAATATGGGAAACCAGGCCTGCTATTCATAGCAGACTTCGAAAAGGCATTTGATAAAATTCGACTGGGGTTTATATATAAATGCCTGGAGCATTTCAATTTTGGAGAATCTCTTATAAAATGGGTCAAAATCATGTATAGTAACCCTAGGTGTAAAATAGTAAATAAAGGCTTTTCTCAGAAAGTTTTTAACTGTCAAGAGGAATGAAACAAGGTTGTCCACTATCGGCATATCTATTTATTGTGGCCATCGAGATGTTAGCTATTAAAATCAGATCCAATAATAATATCAGAGGATTAGAAATACAGGGCTTAAAAACAAAGGTGTCATTGTACGCTGATGATTCATGTTTTCTTTTAAATCCACAACTAGAATCCCTCCACAGCCTCATAGAGGATCTAGATACATTTTCTAACCTCTCTGGATTACAACCAAATTATGACAAATGTACTATATTACGTATTGGATCACTAAAAAATTAAAAATTTACATTACCATGTAGTTTACCAATACAATGGTCTGATGGTGATGTGGATATACTCGGAATACATATCCCAAAGGAAATAAATGATCTCACTTCAATAAATGTTAATAGAAAGTTAGCAAAAATAGATAAGATCTTACTACCATGGAAAGGAAAATACCTGTCAATTTGTGGAAAAATCACCCTGATTAACTCTTTAGTATTATCCCAGTTTACCTATTTGCTTATGGTCTTGCCTACGCCTAGCGAACAGTTTTTTAAATTATATGAGAAAAAAATATTAAATTTTATTTGGAACGGCAAGCCAGACAATATTAAAAGGGCATATTTATATAATGAATATGAATTCGGAGGACAGAAATTATTAAATATTAAAGCATTAGACCTATCACTAAAAGCTTCAGTCATACAAAAGTTATACTTAAACCCGAACTGGTTCTCAAGCAAATTAGTAAGATTGTCTCACCCAATGTTCAAGAAAGGCCTTTTTCCCTTTATTCAGATTACAACAACTCATTTGCAGTTATTTGAAAAGGAAATAATCTTCCAAATATCACTATTTCTAAAACAAGCCATAGAAAGTTGGTTGCAATTTCAATTTAATCCTCCAGAAACGACAGAACAAATAATGCAACAAATATTGTGGTTAAATTCAAATATACTAATTGACAAAAAACCTTTATTTTTTGACAGAATGTTTAAAAAAGGTATAATCTTCGTAAATTATATCATCGGTAGGACTGGTGGAGTTATGTCGCACATGCAGCTAACAAAAACATATGGAAATGTCTGCTCTACCCAAAATTACAACCAAATAATTGCAGCCTTACCGCAAAAGTGGAAGAGGAAAGTGGAAGGGGGAGAAAGTAAGGAACTTGTCTGTCGGCCTTGCATTAAAGAACATAATTGGTTAAGGAAAACTGTGATAAATAAGAAAGTATATCAGTTTCACTTAAGGACCAAAGGATTGACAGCCGTCCCATATAGATTGCAAAATAGTTGGGAAGAGATCTTTGACGTACCGATCCCATGGCATAGTGTTTATGAACTGACACGCAAAACGACACCGGATTAAAAAATTAGAATCTTTCAATTTAAATTATTATATAAAATTCTTGCTACCAATAGAATGTTATTTATATGGGGGATACAATCTTCCCAGCTCTGCAGATTTTGCTGTGAAGAGACAGAATCATTAGATCACTTGTTTTGGTTCTGTCCATTTGTAGCTTGTTTTTGGACAAAGGTCCAGGAATGGCTAAAGGATTGCAATATTTACCTGGAGCTAACCTTGCAGATAGCATTACTGGGTGATCTGAAAAGTCATAGTCAATCAATCAATAATATAATAATACTTTTAGCAAAAATTTTCATTTTTAATTCACAATCTGTAGAAGCAATGAGAATAGAAATGTTCAGAACTTTTGTAAAACATCACAGTACGGTTGAAATATATATGGCAAATAGAAATCCTATATGGATGGTGTTAAGAGATAGATGGGAGGTATTGAATAGAGTTGAAGGATGGGACTAATAACAAATAACAACAAATAATAACAAAGATAGCTAATAATGTAAGCATACTGTGTCCATAATAAGTATATAGGTTGTATGTTGGGAGCTTTTGGGAAAGAGCACAGTTAGAAAGATATGGCATATAGAAGCAAACCGGATGGACATCATGAAAATAATCGGAGAGGTTGAGAGTAGAAGTAGTTCAGGAGCAAAAAAAAAAAAGAATTATATATATATATAATATAAGTATTGTAAAATTAACTCTGTCCATAAGGTGTAGATAGTAACTATAGATCGGAAGTAGAGGCCTGGGCATTGGTGTTCACTAATTTACTCCAAGTAGGGAAAGGATGGCGGGGTTGAAAAGTAATAAAGGGGAGTATATATATAAAAAACATGGGGGATTGGAAGTGATGCAGACAATTACATTGATAGAAGATACAATCTATCTGCAATATTAGATTGCCCCCCCCAAAAATAAAAAATAAAAATAAAAAAATGCATTTATTTCTTAATAGAAAACTAAACTAAAATAACAGCAGGGAGGCTATATACAGGGGGGTACCGGTGCAGAGTCAATGTGCGGGGGCACCGGCTAGTTGAGGTAGTTGACGTAATATGTACATGTGGGTAGATTTAAAGTGACTATGCATAAATAATTAACAGAGTAGCAGCAGCGTAAAAAGATGGGGTGGGGGTGCAAATAGTCCGGGTAGCCATGATTAGCTGTTCAGGAGTCTTATGGCTTGGGGGTAGAAGCTGTTGAGAAGCCTTTTGGACCTAGACTTGGCGCTCCGGTACCGCTTGCCGTGCGTTAGCAGGAGAACAGTCTATGACTAGGGTGGCTGGAGTCTTTGATAATTTTGAGGGCCTTCCTCTGACACCGCCTGGTATAGAGGTCCTGGATGGCAGGAAGCTTGGCCCCAGTGATGTACTGGGCCATACGCACTACCCTCTGTAGTGCCTTGCGGTCGGAGGACGAGCAGTTGCATACCAGGCGGTGATGCAACCAATCAGGATGCTCTCAATGGTGCAGCTGTAGAACTTTTTGAGGATCTGAGGACCCATGCCAAATCTTTCCAGTCTCCTGAGGGGGAATAGGCTTCTTGTCTTACTAAATCACACTCCTACTTGTCTGAGTGCTGAAGCCGTCTGGCAGTCAGGGTGGGTTACCTGCATCTAACCTCAGCCTCTGGTTCAGCACTGATACAGAAACCAATTTTCTGCCCAGTGAATTCTGCAGTGGCGATAATTGGCTATTTTGTCTGCGGCTATAAATTAATCTACAAAATTAATGAGATTGATGAAAATTAATCGTCATTGGAAGGGGCCCCATGTCTGATGCGATTTGTGTTGTGCCTGACAAGGTGCACGGAGAGTGTCCACTTCCACTCGACTGGATTTTAAGCAAAGGCATGAAATAACAACTAGGAACCTCAATAAGGTATTAAACGTCTCAAAATGTGAATCATAAATGGTAAACATTCACAATCATTACATTTGAGAACAGTGTGGAGAAATGAAATCTTGATCCCATTTTCACAAAGCCTTTAGTTTGCTCACACCCTGTCCCTTTTCCCAACTGTGAGGTATTTTAAATTCAAACCGGTCAAGAAACGGTCTATTTCCAGTCATGTTAGTGAATAATTATGGTGCATCTGTAACATCTAAAGACCACCCTTCATTGCCATCCATCGGTTTGCTACTTCACACTACGCTGGCAGAGCTGCTCCCCTCCCTTCGAGTGTAACTCGCACAGAATCATCCCTTTCATGTTAAAAATAAAGCCTTTGTCTGATTCTAAACTTAATGAAACAGCTTGAGCCTGAGCGCACCGCTGGCCTTGAAATAACAGGCTGACTTTCTCTTCTCAGCTGCTTGATTAGGGGACTTTTATTGCCATTCATTTCAAATGGAGGTGGTGATTGTAATTGGTGCAGGGTGGGACGGGGTCTCTTCACTCAAAAGGACCTGATGCCTCCTACACTGTGCTGACGTTTGGAGATTATCTCTTAGATCTGGGGTTGAGGACCACTACCCGTAACTATACAGCAGTGTTCTTCAATCCTGATTCTGGTCCTAATACTGTATATCCACCACAGGCTAAAAATCTGCAGTGGCCCAAACTCCCTCCATCTTGCACGAGCCCGTCTTCCAACTCAGCCAGGGAGAGAAGCCTAGACAAACACTATGTTTTTGTACTAACATGACTTCTAAAGAGCCTTCGCTCTTTAGAAGACAGGTTTCAAACAGAATTCTGATCCGCTATAGATCACAACACGCTAAACAAGCATAACCATGGCTGGGGATAGTGCGTCAGAGAGGGCTACAGAAAAGGCCCATATAGACCACTGTAAACAGGCTAAAAGAGAATCTCTAAACGCTGGTGTGTGTGTTTGTGCGTCTGTATGTGTTTGTCAGGGCCATGTGGCTAAGGCAATGCGCTCCCTTGCTCTAAGGAAAGGTGTCTGCAGTCAAACTGGGGCCTATGTTTACCAACTGTTAGGCTGTTAAAGGGGAGGGAGGGCAGGCATCCCACTCAGTCTTTATAGTGCTGTAACACTTTCACAATCTTTGCTTTTATAGACAGAGAGCTCAAACGGACACACCAGCTGCCTGGGAGTTAGTGGGAACAGTTAAGGAGGTTTAGCGAGATACGAGCAGGAGGGGTTAGGAGTTCACTTCAAGCCAAAAAAAAGCCTTTGGGTTCTTTACTGTGTCTGTCTGTGATGGGGTGGGAGAATGGGTGGGCACCGGGGTGCTGGGTTTGGACTGCGTGGTGATGGAACCTTCTGGCACCACCTGCGTCTCGGTGATGGTCACTGGCAGGTAAGTGCGGCGGGTGATGGTTTTGATCACCTTGGTCACCTATGGGAAAGTGTTGATGGCGGAGGTGGTCAATAAGTAGTACCGGGCATCACATTGGCAGTTGTCTGAACATTGTCACGACTTCCACCAAGGCTGCCCCCCCTCCTGGTTCGGGCAGGCTTCGGCGTTCGTCGTCACCGGAGTACTAGCTACTGCCGATCCCATTCTCATCACTCCACTTGTCTTGTCTTGTCTTGTCAATCACACACACACCTGGTGCTCATTCCCCTAATTAGTATGTGTATAAGTGTTCCCTCTGTTCCCCTTGTCTTTGTGAGTGATTGTTTTGTTGTGAGAGCGTGTAGCTCGGTTGAGCTACATTTCACTGTGTTGCCAAGGTGGATGTTTTCCCTTGTACAGTGTCGTTTGACGCTTGGGGCGTTTGATTTATGCAAACGGATTAAACTCTGGACTTCGGTATTTTACCTCCTGCGCCTGACTCCTTCATTCACACCTCGTCACAAACATACATGTTACATGGACTAGCCTGTTGATTCAACCCATTCAACAACAACATAGGAATAAAATAGCACCAAAACAATGACAATGTAAAAACAGCACATCAAATTGACTTAAGCTACTGTTTAGCATTTTGTATCGACTGGCTTTCGTTCTTTCCATTCAAACCTTTCTCCCTCCTGTGTGCTGTTGTGTATTAAGGCCTGTTGTGTTGTATGAGTTTATATGGCGTGCCTTAACCCTCATTAACTTCCATCCACAGGACACGGAAGGAATGCTGCTGCTTTTGATACACTGTTTTAAAGGAGGTAAATAAAAAGTGAGTATTTCACCCAACATTCACCATTTAGCCAGAGAGGAGCTGGACCATGTCCACAGAAAAGCACAGTGTGTTGGGAGGGAGATGGAGGATGGACATGGTGAAGCCCCTTCCCTTCGTGTGTGCGTGTGATGCAGTGCCTTCCCTTCTCACCAGTTAGCTTGTACCACATACTAGCCAGCCAGTTGACTGACTCTCTCCTTTACAGCTGGAACGGTTAGATAGCCTTTAAGCGGCTAACGCCACTCCACATTAACAGGTCTTGTTTTGGTCTGTTTCAGTGTGGTGGCTGGCTACCGATACTGCTGCTGCTTATACTGCTGCTTGCCTTGTTTGCAAATGTGTTTAGCATTAAAAAACATGTTTTTTTTCCCAAAAGCAATAGTGTGAAATCCTCGTGTTTCATCTCACTGTGCTTGGAGGGGATACATTAGCAGTAAGTAGCCAGCTGGAGCCTCCTGTTCAAAGGAACCCAATAATACATCAATTCAACAGATAAGAAAAAGAGAGTGAGAGAGAGAGAGAGAGGGCTGAGAGAGAGTAAGAGAGAGAGTAAGAGAGGGAGAGAACGCAATAGAGAGAGAGGGATGAGAGTCTGGAAATGTCACGTATGCAGGCTTCCATCACAAGCTGGCTGGCCAATCAATTTGACACCAATTATAAAGGAACGGTCAAAACCGTCTTTTAATCTGCTTCTTCCCCTCAAAATGACTTCCAAAAAGCATCCTCTCTCTCATCCCTATGGAATTGTGTCCTTAACATCAGTGACCCTCCCTCCCTCAAAACCCAAGCCCTTGATTAATGTTGTATTTAGCTGTGTGTGTGTGTGTGTGTGTGTGTGTGTGTGTGTGTGTGTGTGTGTGTGTCTGTTCACATTAGTGTACATGTGTCCAATCCCCTACAATAGGATAGCAGCACACACAGTGAAACAGAAGGATTCGCTGGGCAGTTTAATTCCAGACTCTGTAGTGTCTGTAGTGTGCCAGCAGCTCTACCTAAGGTCCCTCCCTAGGGTCCCTCACTAGACAACCAGACATTCAGAAAAGAAAACCTCTGCTCTACCCAGGTTGCGTCCCAAATTGCACCCTACTCCCTATGTAGTGCACTATTTTTGACCAGAGCTCTATAGAATATGGTGCCATTTTGGAAGCCCCATTCCATCCGGAAGGACGCTGCACTGAGACACTGTCTGGAGCAGTAGTGTGCATGGCGTGGAACAGGCCTGACTGAAGGGTGAAAGCTGTGAGCTATGTTTAGGAAGGACAGTAAGAGTAACAATACTGGAGCTGTGGAGCGTTGGGTTGGCTGTGATGCGGTAAGAGAGACAGAGGGGTGTGGTCGCGTGTGGCTGACATGGGCACACACAAAATGGTGTCGTGAGTTGATAGTAAAGTGATGAGGGGGGACATTTTTCCAACTCACCTTCAGGTTAGTTGACATATCCTTATATAGAAACAACAAAACACAATAGAGGGGAATCAAGATAAAAGAACCCGCAACACAAAATACTGTAGGAGCAACACTGAAACAGTAACCAAATTGTAAGACAAAATCTGGGCATCTGGCTAAAGGATTACAGGCCTTAGAGACCTTAACTTTTGGCTGCCGAGTTATCATAAAACAGTTATCATGCTGTTTTACTGCAGCAACCTGCTACATACATTTCACAGGGTTGTAAGAACCCCAAACAATTTGTTGCATTAAAACGTTTCAATATAGTGCGTGGGCCTTGAGTTTCTTCTCCTCCAGCACCTAGGTACCTACTACCTAAAGTGATGTGATGTGTGACAACGTTGCTTCCCCCAGTACCTTGGTTTCTGTGCGTCGCGTGGTGCCGTCGTCGGAGGTGACCACAGACACGTGGGAGGTGGGTGTGCCAGGGTCCTCCTCGATGGTGACTGTCTCCTCCACCATCTCCTGGGGCTCCTGCATCATGGCCAGAGATGTCTGGTTACTGGGGCTCTGCTCCTGGAGAGAGAGTGAGGAGGGAATGAAGGAGAGGACATTAGTGGACATAATATACAAACGTATGTTTTTTCAAGGAGATCTGTGTGCCGATCACTTTGGGCATTTTTTATTGATAGCACAGTCGGAAATGAGAAAGGGAGAGAGACAGAGGGACAGATAGATGAGGAGGACTGATAGCGGATCTGTAACCACCAGGGGTATGATGTATGTAGTCTGGACTCTGGAACTGAACTTACACGCGTCATACATACAGTCGTGGTCAAAGGTTTTGAGAATGACACAAGTATTGGTCTTCACAAAGTTTGCTGCTTCAGTGTTTTTAGATATTTTTGTCAGATGTTACTATGGTATACTGAAGTGTAATTACAAGCATTCAATAAGTGTCAAAGGCTTTTATTGACAATTACATTAAGTTTACACAAAGAGTCAATATTTGCAGTGTTGACCCTTCTTTTTCAAGACCTCTGCAATCTGCCCTGGCATACTGTCAATTAACTTCTGGGCCACATCCTGACTGATGGCAGCCCATTCTTGCATAATCAATGCTTGGAGTTTGTCCGAATTTGAGGGTTTTTGTTTGTCCACCCGCCTCTTGAGGATTGATCACAAGTTCTCAATGGGATTAAGGTCTGGGGAGTTTCCTGGCCATGGACCCAAAATGTCGATGTTTTGTTCCCCGAGACACTTAGTTATCACTTTTGCCTTATGGCAAGGTGCTCCATCATGCTGGAAAAGGCATTGTTCGTCACCAAACTGTTCTTGGATGGTTGGGAGAAGTTGCTCTTGGAGGATGTGTTGGTACCATTCTTTATTCATGGCTGTGTTCTTAGGCAAAATTGTGAGTGAGCCCACTCCCTTCGCTGAGAAGCAACCCCACACATGAATGGTCTCAGGATGCTTTACTGTTGGTATGACACAGGACTGATGGTAGCGCTCACCTTGTCTTCTCCGGACAAGCTTTTTTCCGGATGCCCCAAACAATCGGAAAGGGGATTCATCAGAGAAAATGACTTTACCCCAGTCCTCAGCAGTCCAATCCCTGTACCTTTTGCAGAATATCAGTCTGTCCCTGATGTTTTTCCTGGAGAGAAGTGGCTTCCTCGCTGCCCTTCTTGACACCAGGCCATCCTCCAAAAGTCTTCGCCTCACTGTGCGTGCAGATGCACTCACACCTGCCTGCTGCCATTCCTGAGCAAGCTCTGCACTGGTGGTGCCCTGATCCCGCAGCTGAATCAACTTTAGGAGACAGTCCTGGCGCTTGCTGGAGTTTCTTGGGCGCCCTGAAGCCTTCTTCACAACAATTGAACCTCTCTCCTTGAAGTTCTTGATGATCCGATAAATGGTTGATTTAGGTGCAATCTTACTAGCAGCAATATCCTTGCCTGTGAAGCCCTTTTTGTGCAAAGCAATGATGATGGCACATGTTTCCTTGCAGGTAACCATGGTTAACAGAGGAATAACAATGATTTCAAGCACCACCCTCCTTTTAAAGCTTCCAGTCTGTTATTCTACCTCAATCAGCATGACTGAGTGATCTCCAGCCTTGTCCTCGTCAACACTCTCACCTGTGTTAACGAGAGAATCACTGACATGATGTCAACTGGTCCTTTTGTGGCAGGGCTGAAATGCAGTGGAAATATTTTGGGGGGATTAAGTTCATTTTCATGGCAGAGGGACTTTGCAATGAATTGCAATTAATCTGATCACTCTTCATAACATTCTGGAGTATATGCAAATTGCCATCATAAAAACTGAGGCAGCAGACTTTGTGAAAATTTATATTTGTGTCATTCTCAAAACTTTTGACCACGACTGTACAAGGTCTGACAATGCAATTTATACACAGTTACAATATCCTCTCATCATCAGAAGATGTGGCAGATTGATTTATCCAGTCAGAAGTGGCCATAGCACAGAGGTACTCTAGACCTGGCAGTTGAGGCAGTTGAATTTTGTTTAAATTGAGTTAGAGGCTCTCTCAATGATACCAAAGCCTAGAGGGCTATCAGGCATATTGCATTTGATTCATATTGCGTCGGTCTTCGTGCATGTAAAGAACTTCCTGTTCCTGCCACAGGAAGTTCCATGAGGTCATCCACTACTGTACCAACACCCTGCTTCCATACTCAAAGACAATTAACGTCAACAAACTACTGTACACTCTCTTAATGTGGAAAATAGGAAGGAAGCCATTTGCAGGCAATCATCAACAACCAAGTAGAGCGAGAGAGACATGGCGGGAGAGAGAGTGCGAGAGACGGAGGGAGAGAGAGAGAGCGAGGAGAGTGAGAGAAAGAACAAAAGCCAGAATAAGAGCAAGAGGGAGAGATGAGTTGTGTGTGGCATGGTGGGTTTAGCAGAGTGGAGTGGAGGGAGGGCTGGGTGAGGCAGACATGGAGTTGATGATGCCAGAGGGACTGTTTGTTTTCTATGAGTCTTTGAAGGTGCTAACAAGCGGGCAGTTCTTCATTGATTAGCCAAGCAGTGTTTGCTAGCTGCTTCAAAGTCCCTCTGCCTCACTGAGACCTGATTGATCTGCTGCCCATCCGTCTTGCTGATCAGTCAGAAGACTCCGCTTTCATGTTGGGGATCTTTTCCTCCCTAATCCTACGGGCCGGGCTGTTAGGTTTGTGGGAGGGGGTGGGGGCATCTGGATATCGTTTTCAGGGACGAAGTCAAATAAAGTTTCTACTCTCCTCGTCACAGCAGTAGAGTCAATTAGTGTAGTAAATTGTATGTTAAGTAATTTACCTAGGAGCAGTGTGTCAGCTCTCCATTATTGGGACTAATGACTGGGAAGAATAGCTGAGGTACAGAGAGCGATTTTCTCAGTCAACTGTTGGACGTTTGAAAAAGCAATTGACCTTTGGTTAATCAAGTAGTGTGGGATGAAAGATCTCTTTGTAACAGTCCTCAGAACAGTGTTTATTCACCTTTCAATTTGATGTAATGTTCTTTGTGTAGGACGAGACCAAAAACCTGCTTTGATAAGAATTGTCCCCATCTCAGTGCATGTGTGTGTGAGCAGGTACACACAGTAAAGTATGTCTGATGTGGGCCAAACCTGTCAGTTTGAACATCCCTTCACCTTTACAGGGCTACAGGGAGCTCTCAGGCTTGAAGGCTGGCCAGAGGACTGAACTATGGTGTGCGAGTTTAGACGTGTCTGCAAGTGTGCAAACATGCAAGAGAGAGCGCATCCGTGTGTGTACAGTGAACTCTCAGCCTTGTTAGCCAGCCAGTGGACAGGACAGCTCTCCCTGGCTGTACTTTAGACACCACATCCCTGAACCCCAGAAAATACCATCAAAACAGGACTATGTAATCAAAGGCCGCCGCTTTAAAGACTGACAAGCGAGCTGTGGCTAGAGCAAAACTCCTCAGAGGCCCACTAGCTGACTAACCGGCTGCTTGAGCCCAGCATAATGCCTCCCTCCCCCACTCTCTTCCTCCCCAACACCATTCCCTCACTCTCTTAACCCACTCCCTCTCTCCCCTCTCTCCACTCCCTCCCTCTCCTCTTCTCCCCACTCACTCCCTCCCTCTCCTCTCCTCCCCACTCCCTCCCTCCCTCTCCTCCCCCCCTCCCTCTCCACTCCCTCACTCTCTCTCTCCCCACTCCCTCACTCTCTCTCTCCCCTCCACTCACTCCCTCTCTCTCTCCCCTCACTCCCTCCCTCTCTCTCTCCCCTCACCCCCTCACTCCTCCTCCACTCACTCCCCCTCTCTCTCCCCTCCCTCACTCACTCACTCACTCTCCCCCCACTCCATCCATCCATCCATCCCTCTCCCCCGCCCACGCCTTATCCCCCACTCAATCCCTCCTACTCACTCCCTGCCTCCCCATCTCCCCCACTCCCTGCCTCCCCCCTCTCCCCTCTCCCCACTACCTCCCTATCTCCCCCACTCCATCCATCCCTCTCCCCACTCCCGCCCTCTCTCCCCCACTCACTCCTTCTCTCCCCATTCCCTGCCTCCCTCCCCCATCACTCTCCCTCCCCCACTCCCCCCTACCTCCATCCCTTTCCCTTCCGCCTCCATTCCCTCCATCCCTCTCCCCCACTCCCTCTCCCCCACTCCCTTCATCCCTCTCCCCCACTCTGCCTGGCTTCCCCACTACCTCCCACCCCCACTCCCTGCCTCCCCATCTTCACCTCCCCCTCTCTCTCCCCACACTCCCGCCGTCTCAACCCACGACCCTAAGCACACAGCCAAGACAACGCAGTCGTGGCTTCAGGACAAGTCGCAATGTCCTTGAGTGGCCTAGCCAGAGCCCAGACATTAACCTGATCGAACATCTTTGGAGAGACCTGAAAATAGCTGTGCTGCGATGCTCCCCATCCAACCTGAAAGAGCTTGAGAGGATCTGCAGAGAAGAATGGGAGAAACTCCCCAAATACAGATGTGCCAAGCTTGTAGCATCATACCCAAGAAGACTCAAGGCTGTAATCGCTGCCAAAGGTACGTCAACAAAGTACTGAGTAAAGGGTCTGAATACTTATGTAAATGTGATATTTCCATTTTTTATTTGTAATACATTTGCAAACATTTCTAAAACCTTGTTTTTTCATCATGGGGTATTGTGTGTAGATTGATGAGAATTTACCTAACAAAATGTGGAAAAAGTCAAGGGGTCTGAATACTTTCCGAATGCACTGTATATTACTGTGTACTTAATGAACCATAGGATTCCACACATTGAACAAGATCACAGCTCGGGAGGAACACAAGACAACGCTAAATAGTTTTGGTGCCAACAGCAAATTCTCCAATTACAGTTAAGTCAGCAGATGACATACTACAGCTCCACAGAGTGAAAGACCGAAACTTCTGAGAAAGGCTTTGGTGGTGTTAAACCACTTTGGAGAGAGAAGGGAAAAGAGAGGAGAGACTGAAGTGTCAGACAGACAGGGATTTTGCCTCGAGGCAGGTGGAGGCTTAGCCAAACCTGCACTTTATTCAGCCTAGTCTGTCCGGATCAGACTCACAGTATGGAGCAGAGGGCTGGCTCTGTCCATATACCCCGCTTTACCTCTCACAGCTCTCTAAGAGGAGGAGATGCTTACACACAGGTGAACTCCTGACACCAGGTGTGTGTGTGCTAGGCTGGGTTAAAGGAAAACTCCCATTTTTTTCATTAGTCCACTGTTGATACAGTCCCATAATGTTTTGCATGTCGGTAGTCAAGTTCTCAAGATATTGGACTTTCAAGATGCAAAACGACGATCATAAAAAAAAAAAGACTTCACAGGTTCCTATCAGATGGCCCTGTGCTCCACTAATCCAGGCCTGTGAAAACGGGCAGGTCTGAGTCACTACCACACAGCCCACTAGTCAGTCAGTCAGGGAATTCCCCTGCAACATGCACTGGCTGTGTCCTGAATGGCACCTTATTCCCTATGATGACCTTATCCACCTTATTTGATCCGTGCCAATAGGGCTCTGGTCTAAAGTGCACTATGTAGGAAATAGGGTGCCATTAGGGACGCAGCCACAGATTGACACAAGGTCACAACACATCCTTGTCTAGAAGAGGGAGAAGTCTTAACACTATTGCATATGACTATGAACATATGAATGAATCTACTTTTGTTTACAGTGAACAACAATGTAACAAAATGTGGAGAAACAATATTATTTGAGCATGTAAATGTGATCCTGTTCAGTTTCCTTTTCAAAGTTTTGCAGTGATATGGAATCTGAGTAGTTAGAGTATTATATTTCATTGTAATACATCTTATAGAGACAATACCTCGCCCATCATCCCAAGATGTACCAAACTGGGTTGTTCTGGATGAAACAGTGAAGGAGAAAAGAGGTGAGTGGGGACAATGGAGGGAGATGTAGAGATACAGGAGATTTCAATTAACAGCAGCCTCCTAACTCTATCAATCCCTGAGTCATCCATCACACAACCATCAGGCGTGTCCCTGCTAGGAGATAGCGGAGTAGGGGGGAGGTAAGGAGGAGAGGAGGAGGGGAGAGAGGAGTGAAAGGAGGGCGGCCTCTGTGCTTGATGCTTCAGTATGAAACTAAAAGTGGAACAATGATCCAAGTAGCTAGGTCTAAAACGCGGCCCTTCAGTGTTAATCTTCCCTCTTGAATTATGTATGAAACGATAAGTTTGATGCAGAAGTCCTTGCAGTGGGGTTGCAAGAGAAAGAGAACTGAGTAACAAAATCCATCACCCATGAGAAATGTCTCAAGTTGTTCTCCTGTGTAAACTACCGTACAGTATAACACTTCCCTGTTCTAAATATCCCAGGTAAAAAAACTAAGATTGATTCCTCCAGTCTTACTCCAATACCGTACATCTACTGTGCAGTAACTGCTCAGTATGCACTAGTAAGGAATTATACAGTAGATTTGCAAGTGTCTGATGAAATAATGAGGCCCTGTGGTTAGTTTTGGAGTAGTTACTGTACCTCAAGTAAAGACAGAGCTCATTTGATTCCTAGCAGGCTAAGACTACCTGTGATGAGTGTCACCTTGCCACCCCAGGACCTCGGTCTCCTTCCCTGCCCCAGTGCAGCATGGGTAACAGGATTTCAGTCAGGATCCTTGCCAGCAATCATTACATGGTTCTTACACAATTAATCCCCCAGCAAAGAACACTTGGGTAACCTTGGGTCGTCTAATTTCCCATCATCCCTTCTGTTCTACCGGCTGCCCTCTCGGCACCACTCCACCAGACTCGAACTCAGGTCACATGACGAGGGTTTTTAGAGGGAACGGATGTGAAAGCATGCATTATATTATACTACCCTGCCCGTTACAAAACAACAAAAAACAGTAATGTGGTGGAATACGCCAGCCAAAACAAGGGCTGTGGAATGGCCAGGAGGTCTGGAGGAGAGGCAGCAGCAGGGAAGTCAACAGGAGGAGGAAGAGAAATCAGGGTGGCAGGCTGACAATGTATGGTAGAGGTCCAACACAGCACTCTCTCCCTCGGCTGAGCCCCTCACAACAGGGCTCCAGAGCCAAGTCCCCCCCAGCCATCCACCCAGCCAGGCCCCGGCTAAGTTACGGGCAGGGCAGGGGCAGCCCGGCTGGGTCCTAATTGACTGGAATGATAGGAAGTGGAGGACCGAACAGACAAACGGGAGAGCAGACCTAATCTGTTTTGGCTGGACGGGGGCGTCCCACTGGTGGACTGGTGACGACTTGGAGCTGGAAGTGGAGACAAACACATTCAGACCAGTGGACTGGGACATGAGGTAACACACACACACACCGACTCATATAAACAGCAAAAAAAGAAATGTCCCTTTTTCAGGACCCTGTCTTTCAAAGATAATTAGTAAAAATCCAAATCACTTCACAGATCTTCATTGTAAAGGGTTTAAACACTGTTTCCCATGCTTGTTCAATGAACCATAAACAATTAATGAACATGCACCTGTTGAATGGTCGTTAAGACACTAACAGCTTACAACAGTAGGCAATTAAGGTCACAGTTATGAAAACTTAGGACACTAAAGAGGCCTTTCTACTGACTCTGAAAAACACCAAAAGAAAGATGCCCAGGGTCCCTGCTCATCTGCGTGAACGTGCCTTAGGCATGCTGCAAGGAGGCATGAGGACTGCAGATGTGGCCAGGGCAATAAATTGCAATGTCCGTACTGTGAGATGCCTAAGACAGCGCTACAGGGAGACAGGACGGACAGCTGATTGTTCTCGCAGTGGCAGACCACGTGTAACAACACCTGCACAGGATCGGTACATCCAAACATCACACTTGCGGGACAGGTACAGGATGGCAACAACAACTGCCCGAGTTACACCAGGAACGCACAAACCCTCCATCATTGCTCAGACTGTCCGCAATAGGCTGAGAGAGGCTGGATTGAGAGCTTGTAGGCCTGTTGTAAGGCAGGTCCTCACCAGACATCACCGGCAACAACGTCGCCAATGGGCACAAACCCACCGTTGCTGGACCAGACAGGACTGGCAAAAGATGCTCTTCACTGACGAGTCGCGGTTTTGTCTCACCAGAGGTGATGGTCGGATTTGCGTTTATCGTCGAAGGAATGAGCGTTACACCGAGGCCTGTACTCTGGAGCGGGATCGATTTGGAGGTGGAGGGTCCGTCATGGTCTGGGGCGGTGTGTCACAGCATCATCGGACTGAGCTTGTTGTCATTGCAGGGAAGACATCCTCCTCCCTCATGTGGTACCCTTCCTGCAGGCTCATCCTGACATGACCCTCCAGCATGACAATGCCACCAGCCATACTGCTCGTTCTGTGCGTGATTTCCTGCAAGACAGGAATGTCAGTGTTCTGCCATGGCCAGCGAAGAGCCCGGATCTCAATCCCATTGAGCACGTCTGGGACCCGTTGGATCGGAGGGTGAGGGCTAGGGCCATTCCCCCCAGAAATGTCCGGGAACTTGCAGGTGCCTTGGTGGAAGAGTGGGGTAACATCTCACAGCAAGAACTGGCAAATCTGGTGCAGTCCATGAGGAGGAGATGCACTGCAGTACTTAATGCAGCTGGTGGCCAAACCAGATACTGACTGTTACTTTTGATTTTGACCCCCCCTTTGTTCAGGGACACATTCCATTTCTGTTAGTCACATGTCTGTGTAACTTGTTCAGTTTATGTCTGTTGTTGAATCTTGTTCTGTTCATACAAATATTTACACATGTTAAGTTTGCTGAAAATAAACGCAGTTGACAGTGAGAGGACGTTTATTTTTTTGCTGAGTTTATATACATACAGTACCAGTCAAAAGTTTGGACACACCTACATTTACATTTACATTTACATTTTAGTCATTTAGCAGACGCTCTTATCCAGAGCGACTTACATGAGCAATTAGGGTTAAGTGCCTTGCTTAAGGGCACATCGACAGATTTTTCACCTACTCATTCAAGGGTTTTTCTTTATTATTTGTACTATTTTCTACATTGTAGAATAATAGTGAAGACATCAAAACTATGAAATAACACATATGGAATCATGTAGTAACCAAAAAAGTGTTTAACAAATCAAATTATATTTTATATTTGAGATCCTTCAAATAGTCACGCTTTGCCTTGA